ACAAAACAGAGTCCCTTTGAGCTGACTCCGACTTTTCATGATATATCCATACCGATAGCCGACCATCTCCAACTATTCGGAATAGACCTGTCGTCCAATCTGAACTTCGGCAGATACATTGAATCCATGGCCAAAAATGCAGCCAGAAAGCTTGGCATCCTTTCCAGTGTGAGGCGTTACTTCACACCGGGACAGTTGCTTCAGTTGTACCAAGGACAAGGCCGGTCGTGTATGGAGTACGTGCTGCCACCTTTGGGATGGCTCTGCTACATACCAACGGGCCACGTTGGATTCAATTGACAAAAGTCTTACAGGTGACTCGAAATTAGTAGAGGCGAAGCTGCAGAACCTTGGACACCGCCGTAAAGTAGCCTGCTTATCGGTATTTTACAGGATATCTCACGGAGAGAGTGTGATAGAATCACACGATTTAAATCCGCCTTCCTCTTTCCATCATCGGGGGACTAGGCATAGGCTTGGATTCCACCCCTATATTGTGGATATTCCAAAGATTCGCACGAAGAGTTACGCATCAACATTTATATGGCGAACGGCTATGGAGTGGAATTCCCTGCCTGCAGACTTGTTCCTTGAACATTATTACTTGGACCTATTCAAGGCGAGAGTGAATAGGCATTATTTAGGTGTGACTTTCCATCAGGTGAGATGGAGGCCAAATGCGCACTTACGTTTGAATAAAAAAAATATTACAGGTATTTTCAGTATTAAAAGAAAATATGAGTAAATGTTTTACTTGTTTATGTCTGAATGCTATTTTTATAGAGACTTCAAAGGCAGGGTGAGATGGAAGTCACTAAATGCGTACTTTTCTTTTATAAAAATGGTGTACATAAAAAACAATAAATTAAAAATTGATAAGTGATATTATTTTTTTCATATACAAAAGTTATATATTATATCGAGTTCTTAGGTTTTCGCGATTGTTAGACATTATTTATTTTCTATGAAACAATTTTTATCGAATTTAAATCGCGTACATAAGTTTTTTCAAACAAACCAGTGTTTCGAGCCCTTTTTCAGATGCTATGGACACGGCTCACTCATCCGAAAAAAGTTATATATTAATAATAAGTTAAGACTACAGTGTATAGTTATTTTATACATTGTAATTAAGATTAACTGCATTCTTGGTCACAGTCGCTGTATAACATAGTAAAAGTAGTAAGTATAAAATTTATCCCGAAACGAGAGTTGCATATAAAGGTAAATAAATATGTAGGTGTGTAACTGATTATCACGAAACACTTACAGATAAAAATAGTATTACGTCATATAAGTTAATATGTCCTCTTTATCACGAATAGGCGTAACTGACAATTTTAACTTGCAAAATTATTTACACAGTTCATGTTCTGTGTTGTTTTTTTTATATGGCATCGAGTGATAACGAACTAGTTGTGGGCCTGGTGGTCAGCGATAACAGTTGCAGTGCCATCCAGAACTTTAAATTGCAACCATCTGAGGTGCACTGTGATTGCTCCCGTCACCCTGAGATATAGCGGAAAGCCCCATGTGCCAATCTGGAACTCCGTAATGCTCCCATTACTGAGCTTGGCGGAAGAAAGAGGTAAGGTTTCAGTATGAACTCTTTCACAAGGAGTTCTACTGCCGCTAAATGGTTATGTGCATAATTCGTTTTCGTCACAATTATAAACTTACAGGCTATTGTTGTAGGAGACGATGAGACGAGACGAATTATGAAGTATACAATATTCACATCATAGAATTTCCAAAGCCTTTCTGTAAAACAAGTCGTTGTAAAGACTATCTGTATTCAAGACAGGTTATGCAAATATCAGTTCACTCTTCTTTCAAGTACCTTAAAACCACCCATATGCACTGTCGGCGAAGTTTATAGGACCTTAATATTGCTTACTTCCTGACAGCGGAGTAATTACAGATGGTGTTATTTGAATTAAGAAACAAAAATAGTGCACGTGAAACCGTTTATGCATAATATTTAGTTATTCACTTATAAACGAGAAAGTTTTCAGTAATTTTTTGAACTTATATCTTCTCAATTCCACCATTTTGACTTACGGCAGTATTTGGTTTCATTAACTATGTATGTGCTATTAAATATGAATATTCGATACCAAGTTACAAACGTGTAAGGAAAACCTTGACGAGAATTCCACCATCACTATGGAAACCCCCTCCGATTTTAAAGTTTCCGTGTGACTGAACTTATTAGGATATTTGATTTTTTTCAAATTGATTGAACTTTGTTCTTTACCGGACAATATAGACAGACTGGTTGTGATCATGAGTCGCTCTTCAGCGTGTTCTTAAGGATTTACCTCTAACAGTCCCGACTTGGGACTATATTAAATAAAAATCTTGATTTTTCGGATTTAAACTTGTTTTCCGACAATTGACTTTTTCGATTAGTGACGGGATTTATTGTAAAGTGCGATATAAATATACATATACACACCTATGACCTGGTTCAGCCACCCTGCACCTCCTTAATTGCAATCTGCAATAAGAATAAAAAAACTGGTTATAAGTAATGAACAGAGGACGATAATCATTATGAAATAACATACCGTCTAATGTCTTAAGCGATAAGCTCTGTTGTAATAGAAGATACAATCATTGTTTCAAATAACTGTAATAACTTAAAATTTCATATAATCTTTAACAGTAAAATAAGTTAAAAATATTCGACTCAAATACACATTTAAGTAAAGTGTTTATTTCAACAGAAGTATCGTAGGAACATGAACTGAAATATCATCAATAGACTGTCATGTACTTTTTTCGTATTTTAAGTATGGTATTTTCTATTAATAGACTGTGGAGAAAGCAACTGGGATTAGGCAACATGACCCTTCAAATTACTTTGCCCTTAAAGGTGCTTTTTCGTTGTAGTTTGTACTTAAAAAGTTTTATGGTACACTTCATAAAGTTCATCGCATGGTTTTGCGGTATCTAAAACAGATTTGCCCGTTGTAAATTATTAAACTTATTTAATCGTGTGTAAATCGTTTCCGCAGATAAAATAATGTACGTTTTCCTTTGAGATACCTACATAGATATTATGTTATAATTTATTTCTATGAAATAACAGAAACTAAAAACATAGACTGATTGTTACAAAAGCAAAAAGCTTCAATAGAACAGATGCTGCAGGTCAACGGCCAATCAATACCAGTACTGTGCAGTGTTCACGTTCCAATTGCCTCAATCGATTCTGCACTCGAATAATGTATCGATAAGCCCACTTGATATTATATCGATACGATGGAATAGAACAGGCGTGGTTAGTCAACTATGAAGTAGTAAGAATGGTTCTTACTCGGCTTGTGCAACAGCACGATTTGAAGGAGTACGAATTAATATTTTATTGTTTGTTTTGTCTTAGTTATAAAATAAACACGTGGTCGATAAGATAAATTTGCTGATTCACGTGTTGTTTGTCTCTACACTTATAATACCAGACAGCTTAAATAACGTAGTACATATCATACCAATCTTTTCAGAAGTATATCTGTTTCTAATTGTGCCGCACGTTCGCTTGTACACAAAAAAATTAATTTCAAATCTATGGCAGTATACGAACGGTTTATTGTTCAACGTGCGCACCGTTTTGTTGACTGTACCATTGAATATATCGACAAACGTGTTGCGTAGATAGACAACATTGTCTCCTTACCCAGTTATGGTTTCAGTCATAACGCAACGTCTGCGAAACATTATGAAACATTACGTACCTAAGACTTTACGCAACAGTATCTATAAACCGGTTTTGGTATCCTTTTAGGTATAGAAGTTACAAAATCAGTACAATAAAACTTCAAAGATCAATTAATAAAAATAACTATAAATATAAATAAATAAATAACGCACACACTCAACATAGCCCCGCACTAGGGAAACCCTGTGTCGCTGGTGCCATGGATACACACATAAACAATCACAAATTACACCCAAACTCACGAGAGAAATAAATGTAGGCCAAACAACTATTTCTCCCGGCCCGGGAATCGAACCTGGGATCTCTACGTGGCAGTCCGGCATGGTAACCATTCGGCCACGGAGGCAGTAAAACTTTTGTTCTAAGCCTTTCCACTTTTACCGATGTTGTATGAAAACGGTTTTGTTAAAAACAGCTTAGGTAGGTATGCTTTGTAATTCTTATGGTAGGTAGCTTTCTTCTTTTTAAATTTATATGTCAATGTCGTCGCGACACTTTGAATAAAAGTTCAACAACGTGTACAATGTAGTTATAACTAGCATTTAGTTTACCTTTTTGTAACACTAGCAAAACTGGAAGTCCTTTTAGGGATTATAAACATTATGATACGGCTCTGACCCCGGAAGTGGTTTTGAAAGGAAGCGTGGGTGAAGTTGTGGTTTGATGCAGTTTCTTAGCTGAGGTATTGAATAGACTGGTTTTAATATAGCCAGATAGTTATTGTGTAGGTATACCTAAATGTATGAAATTTAATGTATTATATGTATATAGATCATGGCCCGTAAACCGACCCGGTTAATAGGATACAAAAACTGCATTAGGTTTAAATTATGCAGTTATAAACCACTTTTTTTATGTAAAAAAAATATTGGAATCTACGAGGTGACTATGTTACAGGGCAATAAAGATTTGGTATTAAACATATTTTTAATTGTATTGAAACCACCATTACATTACTGTCAGACTTTCTTGCAAAATAAATAATAATCCCACTCGTGCGCGAACCCTGCGCGATCAGTTGCAGTAGGAATATGACCCAAACGGCCGTTCTCTGGATGATCAACAATAAAAACACACAAAAATTATGCACTAACTCCCAGTGCTCACTGTATAACGACACGTATCATTGTAAAGTACACATACTTTTCTATAAATCTAGCTATATGCCATTTTTTACGCCGTGTGTATTATAATTTGATGAATCTTTGTTTGAGTATAATAGACACCGTAATTAATATAAAATTTGCGATAATTACCCGGGTTAAATGCTTAACTTTAACAGATTTTAAATAACACTCCTATGATTTAAATGATTTAATATTCATAGCGATTAGATAGTCTTGAACAAGTCTTAGAACAAATAGTTTTTATACCAAGTTGAAGTAGATGTTAGAATGATAAAAATCGCGGAACTTCTGATCTACTCAGATTCACATTAAATCGTAGTGTAGATAGATATCCACACAACGAAGCCTTGGTAAACAGTGCAGCACAAAAAGTTTTGACAAATTATATCTACCATTATATTTTTTTAGTTTTTATTAGATTTACTAGTTTTATGCTACTGACAACCACTTGAAAAACACACACAACAGACAATTGAAAAATTACAAATTTGTACTATATAAAATGTAAATTCATTCCTTAACGAGAAGCAATGAAGTTCAATTAATTTCCAACCGAAGTGAACCGACCCTTAAGTTCTCAACGTCACGTGATAAAGAGGAAACAGATTTGCCTTTATTTTTTACAACATGTGTATTGTACTGCGAAGCAACGGAATTTCAAGATTCTGTTTACAAACGCGGACAGAATGGCTTAATTGAGATTTCTACGGATAATTGAGTAGTTATTTTACAAGAAAAGCTATTGACTTATACAATTATCTAGATTCTATAAGAATTGATAAATCTGCACAATGAAAGAAAATCACAAGAATGTGAATTAATTTATAGAGATCACGCAGAGATAATGAGCTTTAGTACGTGAGTTAAAGAAAATTTGAATTCTTCATGCGTAATTGTGATGGATCTGTTTCTCGTGCCGATTCTCGTGGAAACATTTCAAAATGTATACCAACATGATTGGCAAAATTAGGTAAACCTAAATTTGACCGTCGAAAACATTGAAGTTACAATTTGATAATTACTTTTAGATCATTTAGTTTCGTCTGTCGCTACGGTTTATTATCATAGGCTTCATTCAAAGCATGAACAAATTTCATATCAACTATAATCATGACATCTATGAAGGATAGCATTATCACATGACCGCACAAGTGAAACTATGCGTGGTTTCGTAATTGATGTTTAAATATTTCGAGTAGATTATCTGTACAATGTTGAAAATTTTAACCGACTTTAAAAAAGGTGTGTATGTTAGGCGATTACCTACTCCGACATTTGTGAACTGATTTCGATTACTCTTTTTTGTTGAAAAGAGGTACTCAGTAGCGGTCCCATTCGAATTTGAAGAAGATATTTCACCTTTATGGATGTTTTGAATGTTGTGTATGTTTTAAATTTCACCCTATTTATCTCTAAGTATAGGAATATTGGAATTGCATCTATATGTATTATTATTATTATTTAATACATATAAGTTTATTATATCATATCCACAGAGTTCAAGATCGCATGAAATACAATATGAAACATATAAACATAAAAAAAGAAACTACCAGTATTATATTACTGGTACTTCTTATATGATTATAAATTCAAAAACACTAATAATATAAGTAATCAGAACCAAATAGGAACGAAAATTAAAAGGGACCGCTCTGAACCGTACCCGGCTCAAACGTCCCCATCACACTAGCCGCATTACCGCGCTGGATGGCCAGTGAAATCTGCTGCACCAGGTAAGATCCAGAGCGTGGATCATAACCCCTTTCTCGGAGCCGGCGGCCCAACTCCCGCACAAATTCCTTGGCCTCAGCAGCCCAAGTCCCCGCAGTCTCCACTGCAATTGGCACAAAATCGTACATTGGTTCCAACGCGCTGTATTTTGTGTGTTTTAATTTTGCCGCATATTCCGCAGCTGACCCGGCAAATCTGGTGGTGTGACTCAGATGGGACGGTGCAAATGTACTGACACACGTAGCGTCCCACAATAGGCATCGACCTCTCCGCCATGGAACCAATGTAAGACCGTCAGGCCTCTTGCCATCCGTACGGCACAACCCCGGAGGTTCCAAGACACAAGGCACGTTAGCCAACACCAAAGCCCGGCGAACTAGATCGTTAATCGCATGATGCCTTGAAAACCGCCCCGCGCACCTTTGACAACTGAGGCCGTGGTGGCCATTCTCCTCAACCATGACCCCACAAATGCAGTGATGCAGTTCACAAACCTTACATCCCAACCGTAAAGCAACTGCAATTCTCAAAGAGTCATTATCCAGCAGTGTGCCTAAATGGGGTGAAGGCAATGCCTGCAACCACGCTCCTGATTCAGGCTTAATTGCAGCCTTTAGGCGTGCCACGTTATCACCCGATGCCTCACCTAATAGCGATGTAGTGATCTCCCTACACAAAACATCATCCCATCCTCTCTGGACGACGACATTATCCGGCCGCTCATCACCCGGACAAACAGTGGACCACCTGGTAAGGGCCTCGGCAAGAAAAGGTATCCGGGTATCGTCACCATTGAAGGGTAATATACGAGTGACTAGTCCCAAAGACCTATGACCCGAAGCCAAGAAAGCCACCAAACCGATCTCTCGACATCGACGTACCCCCAGTCCGCCATGACGAATTGGAAGAGCAGCTTGA